TTATCTATGATTGCATTGTATATACAGTATACCAACTGAATACGTAAAAAAAAAGAATTGCTAATAAAACATTAAAGAATAATTTTTGAGATGAAATATATGAAACTTGATTTAAATAAAAAAAATAAATTTATTCGTAATCCTTAGATTTTGATTTTCAAGAAATTTTACTTGCAAAAAGTTATTCTAAAAATACATGATTTACATTTCCTAAAACAAAACACTAAACTGTTCGCCATCAAAAATCTGTATATACTATAATTTTAACTGAGATTGGCACAGAATTTATTATAAACAAGATTTTTTTGATGGAAATTCTATCAAATCTTCACTAATAGATTTCAGTGTCGAACAACTCGTTGAACAATTCCTCTTGGGATTTCTTAACCCAAGGCTTGAGATCCTATCGATGCATTATAAATAATAACTTTTATCGCTAATACAGTTTAAAAGCATCACGTCAAAATAAACAATATACTTAAAGCCTTCTCTTTTGTGTAAATGTTTTTAACAATTACTTTATGATTCTGTAAATTAAGTAGAATTTTCTATTTTTATTTTATAATATATTAATGAACTTTGAAAAAAAAAGAAAAGAAATTAGCGTAACGTATATTTTGTTTAAAAAAAATGAATTTACCTTAATCAAATCATCATAAAAAAAATCGTGAGACAAGAAAATGTAAAAGGATATTTGAAGCGTGGAAAAAATAAAGACGTGGCTTATCAAAAAAGTTACACCAAATTAAATAGCACGTCAAAAGGTTTTTGCCATTTAGCACATTTTGAGAAATACTATACACGCTAAAAAATTGTAAATTGTAAAAATATAAAATTTATTATTTTTATTAAACCCAAAGTTGTACCGGAAATATAAAAGAATAACATAGGGAGAAACTTTAAAATAGGAATTAAGAGTATAATTTATTATTCTATGATAGATCGGGCACATAAAGCTAACCTGCCAGTTTCTCCTTAATGTCTAGTCCCTTTGCTACTAGTCCTCTACTAAGTAAAAAAAATAATAATAATAATAAAAGAAAAGCAAATAAGAACAGTACATTAAAAAAATTAGTTAACAAAAAAAGCGTATGTATCTACCGCAGCCGCCTCATCAAAACTATAATAATAATTTGTTTGGAACTGTGACATTTTATTATAGAGAACGCGTGAACCACATGAGTATATAGTAAAGTAGTATGGTACGATATAATATAATAAGTAAAGTATTATCAGGTACGATCTAAAAAGCAATAAAGCACAATACCGTCCGTACAATTATTGATTTATTTGGAATTTTAAATACCGCCTATGTATGAGTCTCATACACATAAATTATATAATTCATCGTTATAATACATACAGTATATGAATAATATGATCTATTTTTAATAATCGTGGATTTAATTTTAATCACTTGAAAGCATAAAACTCTGGCCCAGCATTAGGAGATTGTTTCTAGAGAATTACTAAATAATCATAAATCTAACTTTCAGACGTTATTTTGTTAAATAACTTACTAATTTCTAACACACTTCTGGAATAAAGTTTATACCGACAGTCAAACCTTTATACGGGATATATATGAAATATAGTTATATAGTGGGAAAATAAAATTTCAAGTTTTATCGGTATATCGAATATGAGTTAGACTTACTCCTATAATTATTTATTGAGACATCTCCGTTTAAAAGTGATCAATATATTATTAGTCATGATGTCACAGAGTCGGATATTGATAAATTACGCGATATATCTCTGAGTTACTCATATTTTGAATTAATAGTTGCGTAATTTTGTGTATACCCACTGATTATTTTTTTCTATAAATAAACCACATTTTGGAATTTTTTTTTATAACGAGAGATATAATATCTCTCTAATAATATCTCTAATAACTCATTTTTTTATAACGAGAGATATAATATCTCTCTAATAATATCTCTCTAATAACTCATTTTTTTTATAATATCTCTCTATAATATCTCTCTCTCGTTTTTTTTCTCGTCTTTTTTTTTATAACTCGCATTTTTTTTTATAATATCTCTTTTAATAATAATTCTCTCTTTTTTTTATAATATCTCCCTCGTTTTTTTTTAATAATATCTCTCTCTCCATTTTTTTTTTATAATATCTCTGTTTTTTTTAAAAAAATCTTATCCTGGTGGAGAGCATGTCTATGCTTTGGCTAGTTCAATTCTAGTCTAAGATCTTGACGCCCATATTCCTGACAATATCTAGGTTTTATATATCTGGTCGTCACGCATACCGAGGTATCTCTCTCGTACAAAAAGAGTTTGTTTTGCAGTTTTATTAGTAAAAACGCCCATATTCCTGACGATGTCTAGGTTTTACATCTGGTCGTCACGCGTAACGAGGTATCTCTCTCGTACAAAAGGAGTTTGTTTTGCAGTTTTATTAGTAAAAACGCCCATTATCTCTGGTGATGTCTAGGTTTTACATCTGGTCACCAGCGTAATGAAGATGGTTGAACTTCTAGACCATATGTATAGTATAATATACATAATGTGACTGTAGACGACCTTGGTTTATTGGAAACGTGATAAACCCATAGCATATGCCCCTGTCTCCCGGCTGGTCAGCCATAGCATCCCTCTGAGTTTGCCGATTGGTGTTTGAGGTCATAGCTCTTGTAGGTTCATCCATACTTTAAGGTGTTTCTCTTCTTTTTCTGTTTCTTTTCTTTCTCCTATGTGTTTAAAAGATTAAGCAAACAGATATTTTTTTAAATCTTATCCTGGTGGAGAGCATATCTATGCTTTGGCTAGTTCGATTCTAGTCTAAGATCTTGACAATCATATTTTAATTTTTTTTTTTTTGAAAACGAATATTAAGAAGAGGATCTTTAACAAATTTAGGGCAAAAATCATTTGGGATTTCAATTGAATCCACAAAATATATTTATATAATTCCCAGAATAAGTGTGCGATTATTTCGTTTTGTTTATTGAAAATGTACAGTCGGTATGTAAAGAATAATGGTTTGATTGGCGTCAATACAATAAGTGACCAATGAATTCACGATTAAAATACTATCTCCTATTTACATTTCTCACTAATTATCAAACTTTAATAAACTTTTGTTTAAAAATTTTTTAGATGACAAATTGAGCATTCTTACGAATTTTTCTTATGATAATTTTTGTTGTCAAATTTTAAAATTATTTTCTAATTTTAAATTCAAACAATGATGAACGCCACTACCTGCTGGAATGAAACCGAAAAGCTTTTATAAAATTCAGAAAGGACACTAAGAAAACAAGATGACCCTGTAAAAAAAGTCGATCCGTTTTTTATATTCTATCTTTCTTCCGTAAAAGGCTCATATTTCCGGAGTTAATAACCTTATATCACGGGAATTATTTACATTTTCCGTGAATGGATCCGTGAAAAGGCTCATTTTTACGGAGTTTTTACAGAAATAACGGATAAAATTTTTTAATATGGTGAACAAGAAGACGAAACGCAGTATGATATCTGTTTGTTCAAGACGTTTTTATAAAGTGTGATAGACTGGATTAAATAGTTCTCTTATCTAATATTAGTTCGAGACAGAACAACCTATTTGTGATATTATGTAGATAAAATGAAACGTTAGAATTAGAATATATATTCGAAAACATTCTCATCATCATATATCATCATATGATTAAATTTGTGTTGAAAATTGATCATAATTATTTTGCCTTAATTACCATATATACTCAGATATTTTCTTAGATAATTGACCAATTCAAAACATTTTCTAGTACTTTGAAGAATATTAATTGAATTTGTTTAATTTTTATTTTTTTTTTTCCTAGTTAGTATTTGGCTATTTGCTCTAAAATAACAGTTAATTGCATGTTCAGCTCGGAAAGTATATATAACAGTTCTCTTCTTATGATATAATAATAAGCAACTAATAGATACGATAATTATTGTAGTTGCAATACCGCTTCTATCAAGGTGCTGTTGTACTTTGATTAAAATTGTTAATCTACTTGTAATTTTTTCTATTGTTCATATCAATCATATGAATTTGATTACTTTGACCACCAATATTATAATAGGACTAATTATTTGCACGTAAAAGGGTCTACTGTAGTGTCTAAAACTATTATTGGATCGGGAATTTCCTCTAAATAATAATAAGTCCCCATTTTGTGCTAGAAATTTAGAATCTGAAATCTAAGATAAATTTGTGACTTCTATGTGCTTGTGTACGCTAGCGACAAATTTGCATTAAATAAGAGAATGGTGCAAATACCACAAAGATAATAATAATCTCAACCAGAAGAGAAGAGATCCTTCTAGATTTGAGTTAGTTAGTGGATCAAAGAGTAAGAAAATATACTCTTTATCATCAGTCTGGACGTAATTCTCGCAATTTCCAGCCAATTAAAGAGAAATAAGAAATATTAACAATGAATATTTCGCGGCAGCGCACAAAATCTATTTAAATTTTGCCGGATTTTCCGAAAGCTTTTTGATAAATCCGTAAAAATTTTTCAAACCCGGAATTTCTTCGGACATGGCACAGCAAATTTCCGGTAAATTTTATGAATGCCGGAATTTTATTAATATATAATAAAAACGTTAAAATATTAATTCTCATTTTCTTGAGTCAAGCTATTATTAATTCTTTAATGCTTAAATCCATATTGTAATAAAGACATAATGAAAATATTTGAGACTTTAGAATTTATGCCGAATTGCCAATTAAATAAAAAAAATTTTTTTTTATTGGTTCCAGTCACATGTTCCGATGCAAAAAATGAATTTCCGGAATTTTTTGATTTTTTCGGAAAATTTCCGGTATTTTTTCAAAAACTTATTGTGCGCTGTTTCGCGGTAAAATTATTAAGCTACAACGGATTTTAAATCGTCCAATCACATGGTTTACTGCAAAGAAACAGCGCCTAAATTCTAATTTCTTTGTCAAAAAAAAATCTAGGATTAAAAATACTAAAATTCGAGGATTGAATGGGAAAATAGCTCATTAAAATTGAAGTTGTTAGTTGATTTTGTTCAATTGTTTATTATGTATACATTTTAATTTTCGTTAAGATCTTCATCTTCCCGACCATAAAATATGGGGGCAGCTATACCAACGGCAGCCATATCGTATTTTGTGGATGGTTGAGAGGAGGTGGAGGAGGGTGATAAATGATATTTTATATTAAGATTTTTTTCTTTTTATTATAAAAATAATATAAAGGTTAATAAAGTATTACTGTACATTAGGGTAATTACTAATAAGGCCTCATTCTATAAGGTTCATTAAATTTAGGTTTAAGTTTATAATTATGTTCCATAATAAATTCATAACGATATTTTGTATCATTGTGGAGTCGAGGAAGCCGTAAAGAGGTGTCATTAACGTCATACGAGTTACTTCTATTTTTCGAATTCCAATAATTCTTAACTTGGTTTTCGGCGCGGAGTTTTCCAAATTGTACATACAGGTCTTGAATTACGTATTTCCAATTGATGTATTTTGGTGTTCGATATTTTTGAGCTAGTTCGATAACGTAACCTTTTTCGTGATCCCCTAGAGGTTGATTACATACTAATATATACTAAATCAATGTATTGAAAAAAAATAAATAAATAAATTGATAGACAAAAAGTTTTACTTACATTTTGGATTGAGATAATTTCTCCAACTAAATTATTTTTTTTAAAAAAAAATAAAATGTTAAAAAGTTCGTAAGTAAAAAAAATATATATATATATATATATTTTAAATAAAATTCATACTGATTAGCAAGTTGTTTTGGCGTATATTGTGGCATTAGCCTAATAATCCTTAAAAAACGATCATTATAGCGTCCCCATAACCTCATGAGAAACTTTATACACTTGTTGTCCTGTAGAAGAGCATTTTGTTAATATAACGCAAAAGAAATAAATAATTAAAGATATTTATACTTTGTTACTAAATGACGGCATATTCTTCTTTTATGGAAAGAACTTTTTATTTTATAGTTCGTGAGAAATAATCAGATTCAATTCCCAAATAAAAGTTTAACCATTTAATTGCAATGTTAAAAAAAAACTGAGGCTAATATGGTAATTGGAAGCTTTTAATACTTGCGGATACCTAATTCCGAAAAATGAAATTAAACGTTACGCAATCGTTTTGAATTTTTTGATTATAAATTTAACTTATTTGATTGTTAGAATTTTGACAATCATAATAATTTAAATGAACTATCCCAAATTTACATAACCGTTAACTTCTATGTATTATGATCTGCATCTTGCATCTTAAAAACATGAAACACAATTTGCGTAAAAGAAATTTATTTTTTTATTTTAATTTTTTTTTTACTATTCTTAATTTAATAATTCGCTGAAAATTCCATAAAAAAGTATTTTCTTTTTAATTTATTTGCTTTTCTATGTCTTCAAACTCTTCTACTGCACACAAATTGAAGAGCCGAGATGAAATAATAAACGAAATTCTTGAGTCAGTAGTTGGAAAAACAAAAGAAGCAGTCCTAAAGTTACAGAAATACGAGATTTGTGAGACCGAAAAAAAAATTCATGATCGGTAAATAAAATATTTTTTGATTATTTTGTTTTATAAAAGAAGATGTTTAATTTTTTTTTAAAAAAAAAATATACTCACAAATTTATCATAAATTCCAGATTATTTGCGCGTCAAGACCGTGTAGCCTCACCAAGACCTCCTCCTAATCAAAATGGTACTGCAAGTAATGAAATAGGAGACGGCGATGGAGGTGTAAATAATGAGATAGGAACGTACATAATTCAAAAGACTTACCCTATTAACACACTTGTCGCTCCTTTTAATCCCGAGGCGGTTCTCCCTCGACTTGATTACTCCATGACTAAACAAAATTATATTAAGTTTCTTATCATGGAGCCTAAACCGAATAATTCTTCAACCTCTTATGATGTAGCGGTAAAGTTGGGTTTATCAGTTATAGCTGGATCAGATTTCAATACGCCAATTTCACTCACCCGTTGAAAAATAAAAATCTTGCCCCTAAAAGAAAGTCGAAAAAAAAGAACTAGTATTTATTTGATAGAATTGTTAAATAGGAAGAATATTCAATACCATAATAATAATTTTTAATATTCGAGTTTATGATATTAAGTGTGTACTTACTTAATTATTTACGATGTTATACAGGTAAAATGAGCGAACGTGACCAAATAATAATAATAAATATTAACACTTTCACGTGTAATCATAAATTCTGGAAATTGGCTAAACAAATTCAATTACTTTTGGGTCATATGAATTTCTTGTGTATAGAAAATTGTGCACCCAAAGAATTTTCGACACAATTAAAATAGGAACGAGCGCTAAATTTGCAACAATAACAAATTAATTTTACCCCTGAATAAATAAAAATATAAACCATTGCTCTACCATTCGATTAATCTCTCTTCAAATTATTTCAAATTAACTCAAACACGTTTAACTTGTAAGTTTGCAAATAGTATTCTTTGTTGATTAATAAAATAAAATCATTGAAGAAATTAACAATTCCTCAGGCGCATCATATCTTATTAAATACACGATGGATAATAAAGGCAAAGAAAAAAGAAAGCCAAATCAGACGAAACCAAAGCAAAGGCCAAAACTACCAAAAAATCCTGATGATGATGATAAAGGACCTCGTGACAAGGGAAATAAGGACAAACCGTGGAAACCACCAAGAAAGTAATAAGATATATTACATGGAAGAAGTTCAATTAAGTATATAATATTTTAGTGTATACAGTATATAATATACAGTATATTATTATCTTTCTTGTAGGGGGTCAGGTCCTCGAAGTCCGAGAGGTCAGGAAGATCAGGATTATTATTACTGATTGGTTTCTTATCATTGAATGATTTCTACTTTCAACATTGTATTATTATATCGTCCACGAGTTAGTCTACGTTTAAACTGTGTAATTGTTACGATTCATTCAAATTTTATTTGTGCTTATGCTATGCCGGGACTGTATTCGGGATTCCCGAATCTAAGATTGATATTAAAAAAATGATCATTCCCAAAAAATAATTATGTAATCTATGAATATAATAAGCAGTTAATTGCGTAATATTTAGTTAGTCGGTCTTATTTTGGACTTGTTTTTGAACCTTATAGAATTTGTGCAATGTAATAACGCTTTTATTATTGGTGTCCCGGCATTCTTCAAAATCATAATAACCTACTAATCAATTGCTTTTAATATTTCATAAAGCGTCTTTTACTACAAATGTCTCTCAGAATTTTTTTTTTTTTTTTATCCTATCCCCTCCATAAAATTTCAACCATTATTAATCATTTTGAAAATGGCAACAATCAAATTTATCCTATAATTTTATAATTTTATGGAGAGATCTACACGGGGTCCCTTCATATTTTATGTTACCAAATCGATACGAATGTTCTACCATATCACTTCGATGTAAAAAGAAATTACGTAATTGTCTTACATATCCAATAGTTTATATAAAGGAGAAAATTATTTTTTGAGATCCTGTTTCAAATTTAATTTATTATTAACCTATAATTTACTTCAAAAGTTAGGATTTGACATTTTTTACTCGTCAATTTTTTAATTTCAGATCTTTCCAGACAAGAAATTCTGAAATTTCAAATGAATTATTGTATTTCTTACATTTTATAACTATTTATAATCATGTAAAAGCAAAGGTACTTTGAGTATATTTTATTCCCTAACCCTTATATCCATTCGTAGGTTAGATAGGTTGCACCTTGTAGCCTACTTAATGGGTTTTATGTTTGTCAATTTAAAGTAATTAAACAGATTGTTATTCTCAAATTACCTAGGTTTTACGATAGGCGAGATTGGGATAATTGTCGTATTTACTGTAGACGCGAATTGGTTGATCGCTCTTTTACGGATAATATTGAAGAATTTCAACAACTGAAGTATATATTGAAATGTTATCTATTAATCCATAATATATTTTAAAATTAAATCTGGGACTATAAGACAAGATTTTGAATTGGTTATGAAATCACGTCCTTCGGTAAAGATTAATGGAGTCAATAATATTTTATAATAACATTTTATTTTGCTAATTTTATATATAATAAATAGTTATTGGATGGGAAAAGGAGATATCGGTCAAAGACCAAATAACTGAGTTATAGTTCGGTCATTAGAAATACTGTGGTGACCAATAGGAATTAATACACTAATAACGATTTCAATATTAGATGTCTCATAAAAATATCCCAATTTGTTATTTTAAGATTTCATGGTAATTAATGGAATTAGAGCTAAATTGTTTGTGATTGAAATGAACAGATCTTTTAGCATTATTATTATGGAGAAAAAAGTATCTGTGATGAATTATTAGAAGTTTCAGCCACTAATATCTATCTATATGTCTTTAGAGGCATCTGGATATCACCAAAACCATAGTATTAGTGCCCTTTTCGGTGCAGATTAATTGATAAATTAAAATTTTCAAAGATCAAGCTCTGATGCGACTTCTCCAGATTTTATAGGAACAATTGGTTATTGTCCGCCCTTTGGAGAGCGTGATATAATTACTGTAAATATGAATGAAAGGAAATGTGGATTTACTATCAACTCCTTTAGCTCGATAATTTGAAAATTAGGAAAAGAAATAGATTTTTTGATTAATGATATTAATGAGTATCTCGATGATTTTGTTTCATGTTAGGAAGAATATGAAATTGAATATTTCGCTATATATTTTCTTGTACTTTCATTATTTTAAAACAAAAGGAATTAGGAATTTATTTAGGAGGAAAAAAAGTTTTTAATTTTTTAAATTACGATTTACGGTAATACTGGTAATCATTTTTAACTATTTAATTCCGGTCGAAATTGTAAATTTGTCATGTGAATCGCTGATTAATCTGATTTTTTTTTTTCGGCTAAATATAAAATGCTACTTTTTCATCACAATCGAAAAAAGAAATGATTCTAATACTTAATGATACCGGTATGTCTCATAAATGAATTTTGATTATTTTAAAGGGATGAACATTATGACTCTTTAAAAAAAGAGATGTGAAAAATTTAATCTGTTGAAACTGAACATTTAAGTTTATGGTAAGAATATTTTATTTTATTTTTTTTTATTCTTTTGTGAGTGTGGCTATCTACAAATACTTACTTATCCTTAGTCTTGGTTATAATTAGCATTTAAAGTACCTGCTGCTGTTAAACCTTATACGTGGAAGAGGAAGTCAAAGATTAAAAAGGTTAATAATAATAATGCTATGGAACAATTGAAAGAGCATGCTAAAAAATCTATCTTCTGAGCTGTAATTGTTGGACGACGTTATTCTGAATATGGAGATCCCTTAATCCTCGAACAATATTTAAAAGGAGAGGTGGTAGAAATATTAATAACACTTGGTAATAACGAGTGTAGTTACAAATTTATACCTTCTCCAATCTAAGGATTTCAAAAAAAAAAAAAATTCAGCCAAGGTTGAGTAATTGGTCGTTGTATTAAGTTATTTTTATACACAGGGAAGAAAGAAAATTAATTTTTAATCTTTATTTTTATTTTTTACGCGTCATTAGGAGAAGGAAAATCAACAAAAAATGCCGATGGAATAGTGGGAAGAAAATGGTGAGTGAACGATGATAACAAATTAAAGAAAATATTTATTTATTTATTTATTTATTGATAATTATTCGACTAATATTGTTATATATTGATATATTGTTACCAGTGATGAACAAAACTATCAATGATTTGGAACGCAATTCACAATCAACAAATAATAAGATTCAACATACAGTATATTGTAGGTTAGCAAGTGGAAAAGTCGCATAAAAAAAATTTTTTTAACAACTTAGTCACTTTTAAAAGTATAGTTAAATTAAGATGGATTATCTTTTATAGATATTACTCTTAGAAAGAAAGTTAAAAAAAAAGTAGATATATAAAAATTTTTTGATGAGCGATAATTTGTTGGAAATCGGAAGAGAAGATGAGTTAGAGAAGATGGTGCCAAAGAAAAGAATACGAAAAAGAGATGAAGATGAAATCAAAAAGTAACATTATCATTTTATAGACAGGTATCCCAGTCTTTAGGAGTTTCCAGCAGAATCATTAACATTTATAAGCTAGTTTCTTATAAATTTCAGGAGAAATTCTGGTCTGAATCCATACATATTTCTAACACTAAGATAGTATCATATTTTCTTTTACGGAAAAGGTGGTTTCATATATGAATTGTCAGCACGTTCCAAAATATTAAAGATACAAGGTCAGATGATAATTCAGAAAAATAATATATATGGTTCTCTATTCAAAATTTTTTGACATGTTATCGATCACTTTATGAGTATATTTCAATGGAAACAAGCTATTATCAGATGATACATATTATATTCTGAAAATTACGCTAGAGAAAGTAGGATGATCAAATATACTGAAAGGAGAAAGATCATGAGAATACAATCTAGTTTATTATATAGTATATTCACGAAAACCATAAAAACAAATAAACTTATATTACGATAGACTTTATATTCCGATTGGAAGTTAAAAGAGAGGACCATTTAAATACTATTATATTCAAAATATATGAAAACTATATATAATTTACGTAAAAAGGATAGATGATTTTTGTTAAAGAGGAAAAAAAAATTAAAGATATATATTTCTATTATTTATTATTGATCAATAATTTACCATTTCTAAGTTCTGATAAGAGAATAGATCTATAGCAAATTAATAAATACTATGGTAGTCTATGAAAAATTTAGAACTGTTAATGATCAAATTTTGGGACGAATTAACGTACTTATTAATATAGTTTCATGGAAAGGAACAAAACTGGTGTGTTTGTTCCTTCATTACGTGATCAGGTTGCAAAGTAGGAAATTTAATGATATTATTCTGATGCATAGAATTATCGAGTGGAGGTAACACAGCAGTAGGATCAAAAGGGGCGGTATGTTGTGTGGCAATTGCAGTAGCAGCTGCAGTTGTTGCAGTTGCAGTTGCAATGATAGTAGCAATTGTAGTTGCAGCGATCGTAGCAGTTGCAGTAGTAGCAGCAGTTGAGGTGGAAGTATTAGTTGCATTGGCAGTAGCAGTGGTAGTAGTGGTGACATTTGCAGTGATAGTCGCTCCGGCTCTTTGTGATCCTGCTTCATTATCGTCGTTATTTAAAATCGACGAAATTCTGGTATAGTCCTTATTAATCAAGGTCTCATTAAAGGAAGCCATAGGACCTAGCGCTCCACTTTTTCTTTCACTTCCAGATCGTTTACGTTTGATCAAACTAGAATTTATGATTAGACAAATTATTTTATGTATATAATATTTTGAATAAATTAATATAAAATAGAACTTTTGTTTACCGATCATAAACTTGTTTTAAATCCCAGTAAATCCCATATTTTTTTAACTCTTGGACTAAACTATCCAATTTATCCAAAGAAAATGTTTTTCTTTTTCCAAGATCTGTTTGTTTGATAATTTCGTCGACTATTTCACCGATTTTGAACAAAGTCTTTAAAAAAAAAAGATATAACCATATAAATAAAAAAAAAACTAAGTATGGACAAAAAAATTTTAATTTATTCTTTTTTCTTTTTTCTTTTTTTTATCGATTTTAATTAACTTACAACATTTTCTGACATATCGGACATTTTGTCAAGAAGAAAAGAAATCTGATGATTTGAATTTGGAAATATACGTTTATACGCATTTTTAAGGAAATGTGAGTGAATGAACAATTTTTTTGGAAATATTGAATGTTTCTTTGATAAAAATAATTGTAAATTTGTAATACAAATACAAACATAAAAATAAAGTGTAAGGATTTACTATCTGACATATTGTAATGTTTGTACATCCCGATCACAATGACGCATTAAGGCATTATGCATTTCTGCAGATGACAATTAATTAAAATATATTTTTTCTTTTCTTGCAAGATATTTTAGCAATCATGGATCTTGAATATATTAAATCTCATAAGAAGGGGATCTTTATTCTATGCATATATGATTTTAATATCTTTAAATTAAGTTTTGTTGGAAGCTAAAAATTCGAAGATTTACGATGCAATGTGTAACGGAATAAACGCCTTCAAATTAAGGCATTTTCGCTGACCCATTTAGAAATTTTTGAAAGAGAATATCTGATGATCTGTAAACATCCATCTGAATATTTGATCGGATGACGTGATGAATTATCTAAAAAAGGAATACAAGCGTTTTCTCACGAAAATGAAATAGATAAAAAAAGCTAATTATTAATTAGAGTTTATGATTACGTATTAATTGTCCATTATTTATTTGTAGGGCCGTTACTTTGTCGTCATTTTAATTTTTAATTTTTATTATTTCTCTTTATCAAATAGGTTAAAATGTCCTAATAACATCACGAGTTGAAATTTCTTGTCTTCAAAAATACTGAGCAAAGTCAGTTTTAATCATACGAGATATTTTTCTCGTTCGGGTTAGTTAACGGTTTCACGATCTATTCTATATTGACTTGATCAAGATTCAAGACTTCATATCTCTCAATTATACTTTTCGGTTTAGATTTCAGCTATCCCGAGTCGTGGGCTTGCAGAGCTGATTGTATTTATTTTGATTAATTTGATCGCGCTTTTTTTTGGATTGCCACTTTCATTTTTATCTTGAGCTTGACATAAAATAAATATGATTAAATATAACAGTTTTCATCATATAATTGATCTAATACAACATAATTTTTACATTTTTCTGAAAGTATTTTCGTACTTTGTGGTCTTGTACACCTTTATTAATAAAAATTAAAGATAATTGTTTGTTTTGTGTAATTTCACGTTGCAGAAGATTATTAGACTCCCCAAACGGGTTTTAATGTTAAACCTATCAAGAAGCCCCAAACTTACAAGTAAAACCTGCACACCCTTAATGAATAATAGTATACACACCTACTAATCAGTTGTTCTATTATCAGTTTATATCGCATCATTTACATTTTTAAAATTAGTAACTCTCCTATATTTCTGTCTTCTTCCTCTGGGATATTATAAAATTCTGAGAGGTGAATCGTCGAGTCCAAACTACAAGAGAACTTTGCACGGAAGTCATACCACAAACATCACGCAGGTTATCAAATCCCTAACAACGCAACCTCTTTAACGAGACCACATTTTTCTGTTATAATAAATATTTCAGAATATGAAAATTATAATTATAATTATAATTGGTAAAAAAAAAATTTCCTTTATAAACAGAATTGATACGAAGTATTTATATGAATTTACAAAAGAATCCATATTCTCGAAACCTATTACTTGATAAGCAACTTTTTCACGATTTAAATTTTTTTTTTATGGTATACCGTTAAACTTTAAAAACAGGCTTTACATGCATAGCCAGAATTCGAGTAATCAGTTATACAAAAAAGTTAGGATCATCGGTTTCCCAAATATAAATTGTGCATTTATTTTTTTTTTTTTGTTTCGAAATTCAATAAATTTTTAAATTTGTTTATAACTATGAAAATAAAGTACTGTGTTTTTCTACTCTTTATAATTTCTACATACGGTAATTTAATCCCTAACAATAGGGTTATCACAGATTCCGAAGATTTTAATTTGATAGAAGGAATAACATATAAAATAGTTCATTCAAATTCAGGCTTAAGCTTGGATAGTAACGGTAATGGAGTTTATACTAGTTCTATTTCTAGTCCGTATCAATATTGGTCATTAAAAAAGGCTGATGGTAATAAGTATAATATCATAAGTTTAAAATCTGGTATGAATTTAGATAGTAACGGTCAAACCGCATATATAAGTGTTCCGAAACATAATTCTATTTTTAATCCATATCAACATTGGATGTTTACAAAGATTGATAATGATACTTATAATATTATTCATCCAGTATCTCGGAATTTGGATGGCAATGGTAAGGAAGTTTATATCAGTAGTCCTGAAGATAATTCCAAAGTAAATCCTTATCAACATTGGTTATTTGAACCTAGTAATTATAATTTAACCGCAACAGTAATGGATTTTACATATCCTCCAGATATAAAAGATAATTTGGATAAATATAAGTCACGCGTTAACCTTTTAAGCGGTAATTTTGTTTTTGAAAATTATGCAAATGCAACAATAGAACAAACTATCGATAGAATTGAAACAAAATCAAATATTTTTACTTTGGAAATCAGAAAATCAGATTCATTTCAATTTACAATAAATATTGACGTGAAGGTTGATCTTGGTATATATATTCTCCAAACTTTGGGAATAAACACAGGGTTTATAGAAGGTACTGGTGGGATTAAATTTGCGTTTTCTTCAAAACATGAGAAAGTATATAGGGAAACTGTATCAGAAACGGTTTCATATAATGTTAATCAGAAAATAATCATACCACCCCTTAATTCGGTAAAAGTTAATAGCACGATAGATAAGATTAGTATTCGCGTACCATTTAAAGCAAAGATTAGAGTTAATGGAAAAGCAGACAGATTAGATGAGAATGGAAGAATTGTTTCAATGACCGATGTTGAGATTAATGCACTTAGATGTTATCTTCGAAAGGAAAAATATGAAACAAAAAATATAACAGTTGAAGGAAATTATCTTATTGTTGATACCAGTGGTACTTTGGAAGTAGAAGGTTATGGATTTGATACAAGAATTGAAACATATCCTATCTCCCAGACCCCGATCCAGCCGACCCCTCCTCCGAATATCTCTTACTTCTCCTACTTCATACTTTACATCGCGCTTATCATATTTACATCTTTTATTGCATATTATTTTATAAAATCATATTTAAACAAAGTAAATGATGAATACGTTAGAATACCTTAGCATAATAATTTATTGTATAACTGATAATGTAATTTATAAACTTTTGTCTTTTAATAATATAAGCGATTAGTTCAGTTATACAAAAAATAGGTAAAAGGCTTGGATCAACCGGATAATTTGATTCCGTCATTAGGACATACAAATAGAATAAAGTTTCTTTTGACAAGTGTAACATGATACCGATTTTCATTATTTAAAATGCACTCTCATTTTTTTTTTTTTTTTTACGATTAACTAATACATAAATAGTTCGAACGTATTATTTTTAGTCAAGTTATTAAAATCTTTTGAAAAACATATCGTTTTTTTTTTTTTTTTGGTTCACATAAAAACTTAAATTTTAAATTTTTGTAACCATGAAAATAAAATATGGTGTTTTTCTTTTTTTTATAATTTCTGCCCATAGTAATTTAATCCCTAATAATAGGGTTATCACAGATTCCGATTCTACAAAAGATTTTAATTTGATAGAAGGAATCACGTATAAAGTAATTCATTCAAAGTCAGGTTCAAACTTGGATAGCAATGGTGATGGTATCTATATTAGTTCTGCATCTAATCCATATCAATATTGGTCATTGAGGAAAGCTGCTGATGATAATCGTTATAATATTGTAAACTTAAAATCTGGTATGAATTTAGACAGTAACGGTCAAACAGCGTATATCAGTGCTCCTAAACATAATTCTATTTTTAACCCGTATCAACATTGGATGTTTACAAAGATAGATGATGATGCTTTTAATATTATTCATCCAAAATCTCGAAATTTAGACGGCAATGGTAAAAATGTTTATATCAGTAGTCCTGGAGATAATTCCAAAGTAAATCCTTATCAATATTGGTTATTTGAACCTAGTAATTATAATATAAGCGCAACAGTAATGGATTTTACGTATCCTCCAGATATAAAAGATAATTTGGATAAATATAAGTCACGCGTTAACCTTTTAAGTGGTAATTTTGTTTTTGAAAATTATGCAAATGCAACAATAGAACAAACTATCGATAGAATTGAAACAAAATCAAATATTTATTCTTTGGAAATAAGAAAATCAGAATCATTTGAATCTACAAAATATGTTGGTATGGATTTTCATCTTGGTATGCCTATTCTCGAAATATTGGGGATAAATACGAGATTTGTTGGTGGAATTAAAAGTACATTTCGTTCAAATCATGATGAAGTATACAGGGAATCCGTATCAGAAACGGTTTCATATCATATTGGTCAAAAAATTATCGTACCACCCCTTAATTCGGTAAAAGTTAACAGCACTATAGATAAGGTTAGTATTCACGTACCATTTAAAGCAAAAATTCGAATTAATGGAAAAGCAGACAGATTAGATGAGAATGGAAGAATTGTTTCAATGACCGATGTTGAGATTAATGCACTTAGATGTTATCTTCGAAAGGAAAATTATGAAACTAAAAATATAACAGTTGAAGGAGATTATCTTATTGTTGATACTAGTGGTACTTTGGAAGTAGAAGGTTATGGATTTGATACAAGAATTGAAACATATCCTATCCCTCAGACTCCGAAGGACCAGCCTTCGAATTCGAATACCTCCTACTTTTTCTTGCTTTATATCGCGTTTATTATAATTATACCCTTTATTGCATACTTTATGAAAACATATTTAAACGAATCAGAAGGATACGATAGAATACCATAGTATAATTGTAGTACATTCCTACTGATTTTAGAAACTTATGTATTTTTACTTTATTTGTAATATATAAATATATATATGTGAAATATCATCTTTTTTTCAATAAAGAATATTTTGCTATCTGTTCCTATAGTCCAGGACTAGTTTGTAAATATTAAATAAAAATTGTAAATTCAACTAATTCAATTGTTCGAACGATTGTTTAATTTCGATCAATCTATCTGATGAATCAATAAATGCTATCTCATATCGCCAATAAAAGACGCTTTGGTTCCCTCAAACTATTCTTGTTATTCTGTGTTTAGTCGGTAAATTAGATAAAATCTGAAAAAATTAATCTGATATTAATCCCGCAATTTTTAAATAATAAAATGATTTTTATCAAAATAGGTACACTTTATTAAAGTATAAAACAAAATATATATGAAATCGACTTTAACTGCTACTGTAGCACGCTCAAAAACCCTCTTTTGATCTCCATAAAAAAAATAAAATAAAATAAAAAGTAATTTACATAACTTGATTTGACAACTTAGTTTGACTAATATAAACTCATGAATACGCAAAACTAATATTGGCAATTTAGCTTCATTCGTTTCATTCTAATTGTTTCATTTCTTTGATTTGATGGATTTCATCCATCTGATGAATCAATTAATGCTATCTCGTAATGGAGGAATCGTTAGACGATACAGAACCATTTTTCTCCTATTAATTTATTCGAACTATTCTGTATTTAACTGGATAAGCAAACAGATTTTTTGTTAGAATAAGGACGATTTATTAAATATAATATAAATTCTTCAACTTTACCTACTGCATTCCGTGAACTTCATTTTCGTCTCAGCAAAAATATATTAATTTTTTCACACGTCTTTTTCCTCCATTTTTTCAACAAGAAAGGGTGACATATTTGTATGATCAACATCTTTTTCTAATGTTTCCTAATGTTTCTAATTAATATTTTGTTGACAACTTATTTTGATCGATAGTAAATCCAAGAACACATTGATGCTCATTTGTTTCATTCTAATTGCGCTTTATTCTTTGATGATTTGACATTATTATCTACCAGAACTTTGGAAGCTCACTTCATTTGACAATATCGGTATTATACTTCAAAAATCACGAGCACCTTCTAACGAATAATCCGAGCATCATAAGCTCAAGCGACTTAAATAGGTTAGCTTTTTTTATCTAGTAAAGCTAGGAACTAATTTATTTAATATCATGATCAAATTAAATAAATTATAATTATTTTTATTATTTTTTTTTAACTGGCTTTACCCGTAATTGAGTTATTGTAAAACAAGTTAAAATTGTTCTGTTCTATCGCTATGTTGAAAAAAAAAAAAATTAATCACGTGCAAGGTTGCACAGCATTTATCAATCTTTTTTTTTACATCAGGAAAAAGCTTTTATTAATAATAATAATTAAACTACTTTTTTTAAACTACTTTTTTTTTGGTTTCCTATTTATATAAATATATATTTTTTTTTTTTGAAAAGAAAACAATACAGGATAGAAATTTAATATGGAAAGTATCTATGAACCGTTTTGATCAGAATGGATTTCCGTTCCAGTTTCTTTGGGATAAAACTCAACTTTACTTCTTTGTCATAAGCGGTTGAAGAATTATTTGGTTTAGGCTCCATGATAGGAAACTTAATATAATTTTGTCTAGTCATGGAGTAATCAAGTCGAGGAAGCACCGCCTCGGGATTAAAAGGAGCGACAAGTGTGTTAATAGGGTAAGTCTTTTGAATTATGTACGTTCCTTTCTCATTATTTACATCTCCATCGCCGTCTCCTATTTCATTACTTGCAGTACCATTTTGATTAGGAGGAGGTCTTGGTGCGGCTACACGGCCTTGACGCGCAAATAAACTGGAATTTATGATAAATTTGTGAGTATATTTTTTTTTTTAAAAAAAAAATGAAACATATTCTTTTATAAAGCAAAATAATCAAAAAATATTTTATTTACCGATCATGAACTTGTTTTTCGGTCAACAAATAAATCCCGCATTCTTGTAACTTTAGGGCTGCTTCTTTTGTTTTTCTAGCTGCTGGCCCAAGAATTTCGTCTATTATTTCATATCGGCTCCTCAACTATATAAATTTTTTTAAAAAAAGAATTTTATGGTGATAGAAACAATTAAATTTTTGATTTTTGATTTTATTTATTATTATTATTTTTTTTCTTTATTAAACTTACTTTTTTGACCATTTTTCCTTATGTTTAGAAAAGTAGATGAAAAAAATATTCTTTTAAGAAGGAAAAGAAAGAACACAGGATATAATCCCCCATCCTAATAATAATTCTTGTTCTATGATATTTATGAAACATTTGAATACTCTAAAAATGTAGTACATCAAAAAAAAAAAAAATAATGGTTTCCATTATCCATTATTCATTATCCATTTTCAAATAATAATGTGGTTCTCCTTTTTTGCTAATTACTGGATCTAAATATTTATGATTTGCGCACGTAATCCGTCAGTGTATCAAACTTTATCATATCTAATATTAAAGATAAACACAAGAATAAACATTAACAATGTATTAAAAAAAAAATTTATAATAATAAACATTATTTTCATTGTTAATGAATACAAATAAGTATATGTAAATTTATATGTATTTACTTTAAATCTCTTTTCAATTTATTCTATTATTGAGTCAGCTTCCCCGCCTTCTACGCCATAAAATCTAATATGTGAGAAAATATTGTACATATTCCCCTTAAAGCTTCTATAAAAAGTAGAAGTTGAATGAAAGCATATCTATGTTGCGTAATATCGTGATGATTTACATATTTTTATTATGCTTTTAGATTTAGTACTGATTTAGTATAGTCTGTGAGTGATGATTATATGATCGACAAACAAACAAATATTAGGTTTATTATGTTTCATTATGTCATTCCCATGGCTCAGTAAAAAAAATTTATTATTAAGTTGGGTACACAAATGTAATTATACAGTAAGTGAGTCACATTTAAATCAAAAAGTATGGTCTAAAATATACGAGGTTTTCAAAAAACCAAATTCTTAAAATGTGAAATTAAACTATCTATAAACTTGCTGTAAAAAATTGATCCATGTTTCAATGATGAGGTGAAATATTTTAAATATATTAATTGGTTTGCTGCGGTTTTATAAATCTGATCGATAAATTTCGGTGCCCTTAACATGTAAATTTCACGTGATTATTTCTCTAAAGATCGATAGATTCGATAGACTGATAATCTGTTCGCATATACTTACAGGGTGACAAATAGGTAAATACGGTATTGATAACGTGATCTCATGGTCGTTGACGGTTAGACAGCACATCCCATTTTGCAAATTGATTATAAGCGATAATCTGATGTAGAAAAGCGCGTCAAGTATACAACAATTTACTATCGGGATACTTTATTCACTCTGAACTTGCTGATGCTTTGCGAACTTATATTGAATATTGATAACTTTTGATATACTGGCGAAACAATCAGAATATGAAGCAAAGTAGCAAGTATATTATAAGATCTTTATTTTCATAAATGGAAACACAACGCATACATAGATACTTGCCTGTTATTATTTATTGGTTTGTTAATTTGAGAAGTAAATATGACCTCGTCTTACTAGAAACAAAAGTTTAACAACTTATATTGAAGGAGCAATGGCAATTATATCTAAGTTGACAGTCTTTTTTTTATTTATCTACAACATTATTGCTAACAGAATATAGTCCCATTGTAAATATAATTTGAGATTATGGAAACCAATTATTTTGGATTTAGGATTAGGAGTAAATGTACAAATACTTAATCAATTTTGGCATTTCTTGGCGATTAATAATTTTTAAGATATGTACCAGGAGGACTTGTTACTTGTACAATCAAAAGAACGGGGTTGTTGTTGTTGGCAAACGTTGTATACGATCCACTGCTTTTATTTTTTCCTTTTTTGATTTCGTTTGATTTCGATTCTTCTTGTACTAATATATCTCATTGAGCACATACGGTCGCTTGGAGATCTGTATACTCCCGGTTACTGAAGTGATCATGCGATGTATTTTTAAGGTTTTATTTGGAGATTCCTGTATAAAGGTCTACTGGTCCTGGAGGAGGGGTCGGTTATGTACCTTCCTTTATACGCGTAGGAATTTTCTGGATAGCTCCTATTATCTTTTTTAATCACTCTTTCATCTCTCCTTAGATTATTATCAATAGCATTTAATTGATGTATTTCTTAATATTTTTTTTCCTTTTTTTTTGATTTTATTATCATAATTTTTTCCTATCACAGTTCTTTTTCATTCTGCAATAGCATTTAATTGATGTATTTATTTTTCATATTTCCTTTCCCTTTTTTTTTTTTGATTTTATTATCATAATTCATTTTCCTATCACAATTCTTTTTCATTCTACAGTATAAAGCTTACTGAGTAAACCTATTTACTCACATTGTTACGTTTTTCTTTTAAATATGTAGGAGGAATATCAGGAAAATCATTCATGATCATCATCAAAAAGTGGATAATGTTGAAGAAGTTACGCCATCTCTCCCTATACGTACGTATTTTTCGCTAGGTATGCTCGAGGGTTTGGAGCTTGCTGTACGTAAAATAGATTCAGGAACTGTTCAATTATTATATTTTATTGTATCCAACTTTTACTAATTTATGGCTTCTTTATTTTAGAATATGCAAATACAGCAAAGGAATAATCGTTTAAATATCTGGAGATAAAGAAGAATTTCAACATATATGATCATTTGATGAAATTTCTGATCTCATCATCACTTATGCCATTTGTAATATTACCTTGCCTTTGGGAATTAGGAGATATGGAGTAGCTCAGAATCCACGACGACTATAAAGTCTATCTTTCCCTCGCTTTCAACATTACTTTATCTATATATTATAAACAACTGGATCTAAAATGCATAAAGAAAGCTTCAAAAATTATCTACCCGTTATGATTTATCCTTTTATTCTTTATATTTTTATCGTAATATTCTTTCTTATTTTGTTATTTCTTATAGATTTTTTATCATAAATTATAAATTATTAGAATTTTATATTATTATATATTTTATTCTATATAGTCCAATTCGGATTTAAATTTGACTTAGAATTGGGTTAACTCTAACAAACTTAAAAAGCAATACCTATCGTTATACATTCAAATTTCTATTCGTGGTGATAAGACAGATTAAAGATATGTCAACAGAAATAAAAAATGTGGATAAAAATTTGTGATGAAAACAATAATAGTTTCCCTATTTCCAATTTTTGATACGCCAATGTGATTTCGATTATTATTAAATTCAATAAACAATAATCTTTAATCATTTAAAGGATTTAACATAATAATGTTTTTAGATTCTTGCTACCCGATTCTAATAAAGAATAAAAAAAAAGAAAATCAATTACCTGTATAAATTGAAAGTAAATTAATATTATAATATTTTAATGTAAAATTACGATATCGAGTAACATATTTATGGATAAATGTTTTTTTTTGATTTGTGCAAAGTAATGCGACATTTTGGCATTCAGGTACAGGTTTGATGTGGCGATCTTTAGACACAGTACTGTACATACATAGTATACGCATGCATTTATATGTAAATTTGATAATAAATGCTATTAAATTATCTTTTATTTCAGTGTATCATAGGACAAACACCGATAAATAAGAGAGATAAATTATGAAAGGATTGATCAAAAAAAATTTTTCTTTTTTCTTCAAATAAAATAAAAATTCTTTTTTTATTTAGTATAAATAATAAATATAAAATCAATAAAATAAAAATATTTTTTTGTTTGTTTTTAGTATAAATAATAAATATAAAATAAAATATATTTTTTTTTTGTTTTAGTATAAATGTATAAATAATAACAAATATAAAAATATTTTTTTTTTGTTTTTAATATAAAAATGATAGGAAATTAGGAATTAATAAATAAAATTGTTTTTTTTTGTTTTATAATTTAATAAAATAAAAATTTTTTTGTTATAATATATAGAATTAAAATATATACACAAACTTTGTCGTTTCATACCAGCCAGTGGTACTATTTTTATAAATTTTTTGAATTTTTTTTTTTTTTTAAAAAATTAAAATAAAGATAATAATAATTAACAAAATAAAAGGATTTGAATAAAATTAAACGATGGAACAAAGGTTTTTTAAGTAACTTTGATTATGATTTTGTTGTGTAGTATAAGCAAAAGAATACTTGATTCATAATCACATCGATGCGTATTCTGAACAATATGAACAGTCTGAACGGTCTGAACGGCCCGGACAGTCTAACTAGCCTGAGCATTCTGAGCCGCCTGAACATTCTGAGCATTTTGAGCAGCTTGAGCATTCTGAACATTCTGAGCGTTCTGAGCAGCTTGAACATTCTGAACATTCTGAGCATTTTGAGCAGCTTGAGCATTCTGAACATTCTGAGCGTTCTGAGCAGCTTGAACATTCTGAACATTCTGAGCATTTTGAGCAGCTTGAGTATTCTGAACATTCTGAGCGTTCTGAGCAGCTTGAACATTCTGAACATTCTGAGCATTCTGAGCAGCTTGAGTATTCTGAACATTCTGAGCATTTTGAGCAGCTTGAGCATTCTGAACATTCTGAGCATTCTGTTCAAAACGCCTCAAACTAACGATAAAAATGAAGAGAAATAGCATATACTTTCTTTTTTAGATTTTTATATTATGTATTATACCTGCTTAATAACTTTATTTAAAGTACATGTGAATAATATAACCATACTAACGATACATCATACCCGAAGTGATAGGAAAATCCCATGTATAAATAAAAAAAAAAGAAATATTATCTTACCGGACACTAACTTTCTTGCGGGTGATCAAATTATCCAAGTGTTTTGTATTATCTAAAACCCACTTGTATTTATCTGGATAAGATAGATTTAGGTCTACTTGTTCAATAACTTCATCGATTAATTGATCAATTGTACAATTTGTATGTTTCTATATATTTTTTTAAAAAAAAGCGATTAAAAAAAAAATGTTGATAAATAAATAAAATGAACATCTTTCATTTAACTCACATCTGACATAATGAAAGATGAATTAAAAGAATACAAGATAAAAATTAACAAAATCAAAAATTTCTATTTTTCTTTTTTTTTAAAAAAAGTACAGTAAGGAGAAAATGAAAAAAAATAAAAATGAAAGATAAAAATGAAAGCTCCTCCTTTATTTATTAAAAAAATTCAATATAAATAATAATATAGACATTGTGATTTAGAAAAATTATTAATTAATTCGAAATCAATTTTTATTACGATAAAATTCTGATTGGTGATATTGTTCAATCAATGATATAGAATTATGTCATTTCTCCCCATTGTTATATTGTTACAATGGTTGTTTGTCCGAGTTGACCCTGAAGATCTAATGCTCATGTGAATATCAATCATTATTTTTTATTAATTGATTTGACTTATATGGCTATATTGTAGTACTTACTGGTAGTGGTCAAAGCGGGTTTCGATCTATATTTTACGCATTAACATTACGTATAACAGATAACTTGATTTCTCCACTTAAATGTGTTTAACTCAGTTCTTATCAGTATATCAGTATAGTATAAACGTGTCGTTTGGCGAATATTATTTAATCTACACTTAAAAAGAACAAGTTGTTACTATTGAAATGGTTAAATTATCTAGATAAATACCTTTGCTCAAAGAAAAGAAAAAACGATAAATGATTTATTAATACTTTGAATAGATATTAATCTTTAATAGATTATACGATGTATAGTGAGTGGACTATAAACAAATTATTAAACATGTAACAGATGAAATGGACTATTAAATTTTTTTTTAATAAACAATTAATATGTAAAAGCTTCTTTCCCTAGTAACCATGAAAGATTTAATCAGAAACTCTGTTAATTCTTACTCTCGAAGATCTATTCCGAACGCTTTTTTCGCTTATAGAATGGCTTCCTTTTCTTTGAAATTTTTTTTAAGTTGTGAAGAGTAAATCGATAATAATGAAGTCGTAATATATTATTCCACTGTTCTATTGCATTCCTTTAATCGAACGAGAGTTAAACTGTTCTCGAACAAGAATAAGTCAAATTTCTTTTTTATCTAATTCAAATGAGTATCATTTCCTACAACGTGTGCAACATATCACTAGATGAGTAAGATACAATCTTTAATCACATTATCACATTCCATTTGTATTTTACTCCACTTGAATTACAGCTTGAACAATTTCGGTTGTGTCCAAGGCAAGTTACTGCAACTGCTAAATTTTCGTCTAGTCTCCTATCATGATGTTCATCATCGTTTCGCAATGTATTATGTTTCTTGGAGCTCGACCTTGAACCGGATTTATGGAAGAGGAACATTTAAATCTATTCATAATTGTTGCTGACTTATTGAATATTTAGCAATAGATAAGAACAAATCATTGAAATTATTGAAATTAACTCTGTGGGATTGTTCTGTAATTATTTTCCACCGTAACGCTTTCTTTTTTAAAAGATTTCACTGGATACCATTAAAAGATCCCGTGATAGAAAACATGAAATCATCGAAAATAAGACCCTTACTTCGTTTGATTCGTCAAGTACATATTAGTCACGCAAATTCTTCAGTGAAAATAATGTGCACGTGCTGTCTGGTTTGATATATCCCGATTAAAACCGAAAAATATTTTCCAATGGTGATACTGATGGCGACCTGTCATGCTTTGCTAAATAAATAACCAGTAAAATTATTAATAATGTACCAATGTTCGTGTTCGAAAACAAACATGTTTTATACTATTTGGAATATTAACAATATCATTTCCTTCATTTCCTTCATATAAGTACCATTTATTTGACTTTCCTATGTGAAGTCTTTATAGTATTTGAAGAACTCTTGGTCCTTAAAGGTCGAAGAGGTTTACTTGATGTAGTAACTCGTATCGCACTTTAAAAATGCTGTTAACTAAATCCTCAAATGTCTATGAATTTTAAATACTTTCATAGCTTTTCATATTCCTTAGACGACAGTATAATATGACACACTAAGCGACTTGTGTTCATAATAGGCGCAAAAAACAGCAAAAAATATAAAGACAGAAAAATTGGGTAAAACTATCAAAACAATATTGTATTCTTTTTCTTATTGAAATTTGTTTTTAACTTGCTGTATAATATATTTAATTAGCGTAAGTTTGAACATTGAATTTGTAAAAGGTGCAGACTCAAAAATTGTGTTCTGGGGAATTTATTTCGTGTTTTAAATCCAATTAAAGAAAGTTAAATGTGAATCCTTTTTTCTTTCGTTCAAGCTGTACAACGTGGAAATACATTTTCGCGGCAAAATTTAAATAAAAAGCGAGTTCGTCTTACCTCTACGTTGAACAATAAAAAAAGTTTCCACAACTTCTCGAACTTGGGAAAAAAACTAATTACGTTTTACTTATCTCTGTTTACTTTTGATGAGTGTTCCAAGAACTATTTTTTATAGGAGCATAAGTCTGCATTAAGTAATATACTACTTTAGAGCTCTGTTTACAAATTTTCTCGCAGGTCTATAGTCCATACTTATATGTAAGAGTAGTTATTTAGCTTAAAAAGACTATATGTAAGCATAACTGTATCAATGCCATTTTACAATAAGAATTGATACAAGTTTATTTTTTTTTTAATTAAATTCGCCAAGAAGTACTAATGTTAACTAAATATGTTTATCTATGTATAATTTTAAGCGTAAATAATAATAAAAATGAATAAATTTAAATAAGGTAAGCAATAATTACCCTTTCTATAAAACTTACATATTCGTTAACGATAACGTTTTTATCTAGATCATGTCTCTTACAAATTCAAAAGTGAAAAGTTGTGTGGCAATTTGACAAAAGTTAGATAAGATACTACTAATGATTATGCTAAACTTTATAAAGTAAGTAATATTTAGTCTTAATCATTGTTTTAGCTTATGTTTATATTAGGTAATCACTTGTGGTAGCGAGTTAAAACACGTTGTTATTTAGAACTATACCATTTAATGCGCATGTGATTATATTGGAAAAGAGCTTTTATTGCGGTCTGAATTTTGTACAAAACATCTGTATTTTATATCCAACAGGTGAGAGGCACACTATTTTTACTTGATTGGTTTATACTTTTTTTATTTTAAAACTTTTGGAAATTATAAAAAACAAATTTTTTTAAGAAAATATTTTATATTTTACTTGAGATAAAAAAAAGAAAATAAAAAAAATGACAAAAAGAAATATAATATTTTCAATACTATGGATCAACCAATACTATTTTTTTTTTTTTTAATTTAGAAGGGGAATTTTGGTGATTCTGGACCTCTCGGTTCACAGTAACAGGTAAACTAAAGATAAAAAAAAGAAAATAAAAAAAAAGAAACATATATTTTTTAATACTATGGATCAACCAATACTATTTTTTTTTTTTAATTTAGAAAGGGGAATTTTGGTGATTCTGGACCTCTCGGTTCACAGTGAGGCTCAATAACTTGTAATCTATGGGTATTGGTTTGAAGAGGTTGAAAAAGGGGTGCGAGAGTATCATTTAAAATATTTTGAATCCTCATAATATTGTTAGAGGAGGCAGATTCTTCACCATAATCGGTATTGGACGAGGCCGGCGATGCGTAACTCGAGAAAGTGGTAATCGAGGTCTGATCGTCATCATCACTTTTATTCGGCTGTTCTTCGCTTTCATAATTTGATTGAGGTTTAATTGTCGAACTCTCTTCAATGGACGTAGAAGATGCGGAAGAAGATTTTTCTTCTACAGAAGATGTAGAAGGCGTGGAAAAAGAAGGTTTGACTTTTGATTTTTCTTCATTTCTTTTGCTTAAAATTTACGTAAAAAAAAAAAAGAAGAAAAGAAATTATTATTAGAATTGTAAAAGAAAAAAAAAATTATTTTTAGAATTGTAAAAAAAAAAAAAAATCTTACTAAAACTGTCTAGATGTGCCACCAAATTGTCCCTTGGATTCTGAAGTTGTGAAAACTTTATATTCTTCAGTTGTTTCTTTCTGTATAAATTAAAAATTCTGAGTTAGAAAAAAAAAAGAAAAAGAAAAAAGAAAAAAAAAGGTAAAATTAATAATTTAAATGTTTATCATTACCTTAGACATTTTGAAATTTTGAATAATTTTTTGAGCAATTTTTGAATGAATTTTTTGAACAATTTTTTTTAGAAATAAAAAAATGAAAAAAAAGATGAGGTCTAAAAATTTCGATTTATATAGATAAAAAAAAAAATGGGGGATCTGAAAAAGTTGTTTATCCGCGACAAATATTGTGCTCATTTTAAGCAATATTCTTATTTTTTTTTTTTTTTATTTATATTTGTAATATATCGTCGATTTAAGTAAGAATAAAGAATAATGATCAATGAACTTTAAATTTTTTTTTCGTGGGACATTTATTAATTAATTGCATCATTATTTTAATAACAAACAAATAAACAAGTTATAAGACTACTTCAAATCCTCTTCAAATCCTAATTGAGCAAGAAATATCCAACAGTACCAACAGTACCATTGTACGGAAAATGCAGAATCGCTTCTAAATCGCGTAATTTTAAGCTAATGAATGACTCATTACATATTTTATTTGTAAATTTATCAAATAAAACAAATAAACAGCCTGATCAACAGTTTCATTAAACAGATAAAAGTGGTTCTTAATAAAAAATAAGGTTTTTATCAATTAACATATCCCTTGTGATCTCGTATACAATGGAAGATCTTTACACAATGATATGAATCATGTGTTTGTGAGATACAGGCTCACTAATTTTTTTTTCATAATTATTATTTTAACTAAAAACGGCTAGAACGTTTATAACAAACAAATCTTTATTGTTTTATGACCCACAAAATACGCCAGATTTTGGCTGAAATCTAAATGAACCTTATTGAACCTTATATATTTAGATTAGTTTTTTTTAAACTATTATATATAAAAAAAAAAAATTTTTTTTTTTTCAATTATTAAAATTATTAAATTGTATTATCTGATCTTTACGTGATGATATTATAGATCAATTTCCGTATATTTCCATTAATATATCATTTACATTAATAAATACTGTATCATTTCTATAAATATATTAAGTATAGACCTCTATGTAATCACCTAATTTCCGCACGGTATAAAGGGTTTAAATATATTATTCTTTCTTAAAAAGTATTTTATATATTAAAAAAAAAAATCAATTGGAATTAATTCAAAAATAGCTACAATAATTTATTATTAACAATTAATATTGTCCATAGAATAGGATAGGATAATCGGATAGCAATGTTTGCAATATTGGTTTAATTATGTGTATAAAAGGTATAAAAGGGGGAGCCATAAACAAATCTAATTTGACGTTACCCGCGAAATCTGAATTATAATGTTTACTTTCTTTTATCGGCATCTATAAGTTATATACGAGCATTATATACACCATAAGGTTTTAAAGTTCTTCTTGTCATTCCTGATTTCCTGTCCTTCTATAAAACTACTGAATTTTAACATTTTGTCTTTGTAATTATTATAACATCGTTAAAATTAATTCAACTTGTAACGTAATTATTAGAAATCGCTCCAACCAAAATAACTTCACTATCAGACTGGTTGTCATTAACACAAATATGCCCTTTACGGTGAAAATCTACTCATCCCATCTATATACTTGTAGTAACATTATTTCCCCTGAGATTTATACATATAATATACAGTATAGTACTCGATAATCGGTTCTTGGTATAGTCATGCTGTAACTCCTGTGACAATCGTGATTCCTGCGACTGATGTCGCTGAATCTTGGCGTAAAGTTGGTTGTTATCGCGACCGAATTCTTGATTATCTTCCATTAATACGTTGTAATCTATAATAGGAATATTGATTCACAATAAAATATTACTATATTTAAAGGTAATACATTCCGTATACAAAAAGTGAACATCAATAACTGAAATACTGGTATATACTGGAATATTAAGCCTTTCTAGCCCTTCTAGCTTGTGTGTACCTGACTACGCAAAACAGAACCAATCTCTTGTAGTATTTCGGGAATTCACCCATGATGTGTTTTTAAACTATTGAACATTATCAATGTATCTTTGATACTAGTCTATGTGGATAATGACGGCCTCAAGAGGTCAACTCTTTTCTCTGAAATAGCGAAAAAGGATTTCATATATCATATTACCAATGCTGTAAGAAAATTATTCGGAATAAACCTGACAGACACGGACGCACGCTCCTATTCGTACTTTTGCAACTGACTGATCAATTTATTCGTTGTAGTTGCTTACATTAATTAAATCAATAAAAAATATAAACAGGATCATTGAGGGCATCCTTAACTGATTCACTTTTGACTAAATTTGACGATACCAATTCTTCCGCTTAGGAGATTAAATGTTGTAGCTCAATTCCTGCTCGCGATTTTCCTATTCCTGATCCACCAGGAATCAAAATGAAATGATGATTGCTACTCAAGCATTTGAGATAATTATCTTTGCAATCTTATCCATAGCTTGTTTACAATCATAGAACTCGTGATTAAAAACTTGTTGATAAGGAGAGGTTGGTCGTCGAGAAGTAGCGATTATGTGGTGGCTAGAAGGATGAACGACGAATGAAAAACGAGAAATGACTACATATCTCTTATTCGAGAGGTAAATTACCAGTGGTGGGATGATTGTGATGTTGTGGGTGTTAGACACTGCAAATTTTTGATTATCTAATTCGCCTCGAAAATATTCTTCAAACGGTTCTTGAAGTTCCTTTTCTTTTCCATGAAGTTTTTACAATATCTTCTTCAGTAGAAACAATTTTATCTTTGATTCTTTTTTCTCGACATTAGCTTCGAAGGTTTCAGTTTGCGCATGATAAAAGCATCAACATTCCTATGACAGATAAAATTCATGATATTTCCAACCTTAACAACGTCAAGTTATATCTACTATTACCAAGTACGGTACATCTTTAGGTCTCTTAGAACGCAACAATTGAACGACGGTTCTACTTCAATGATATAGCTATAAAAAGTGAGCGAAGCAATATATTGGAATTATTTAACCTTTAACATGTTTTATATTAATAATTCTTCTTGTGAAAAATAACATTTTCACTTCAATAATAATGTAATAAGTTTAAAAATAGAATTTATTTTTAAAATAAAAAAGTACTTCACTTACCCAAATAGTAAAAAAATCGTTAAAAGTAATCTTGTTTGATATTATCCTTACATATTGAATATTGTTAAGGACAGTGCATTTTGTTAACATCAAAAGTTTATTTTCGACGAATAATACAATTCTGAGACGGTTTAAAAAACAAAGACAAACAAAGACGTATTTTCGATAACGACTTTTTTGTTTTTTGTACATGTAGTACAAATGATTATCTAATCTAAATCTCAGAAACAGAAAATTGGAAAAATTATAAACTATCAACTTTTAAACTTCCTCAGTTTCATACCACGTTTTCAATCATTTATGAAGGTACCGTATCGTATATTCTATAAGAATTAATTCATACTAGTAAAGTTTGATGATAATTGATTTGAGTAAACATATTGTTGGAATAAAAAATTAGAGGAAAATGACAAGTAAGTGATAAATTAAAAATATTTTCTCCGATAATTATTTATAAATTACTTATATTTTTATCACATTATCATTATTAGCGGACAGAGTATTCTTATCATTAGTGAATAGAGTATTATCATTAGCGGGATGAGAAGATATTATTAGTGAGATTAATATCATTGAGTAGTACACTAGAAATTGAAAGCATATTTAGACTTCCAAATCTTCCAATTCCAATATTACTTCCAATTCCAATAAAATTATTGAAGCTCCCAATGAACATCACTGCCATTGAGTATTGTTATTAATTGACGCTCGCATAAGTAAGGAAATGTATAAGATTATAAGAGACTAAATTGTTGGTCCTCACGCTAGTTTTCTCCAATAATATTTGCAAAAAGTAGTATATAATCCGCTATGTCTATCATTTTACTTTGTCTATTAATTTGTGATATATTATTCAGAGAAACTTTCGTTTGAAACGGAAAAATAACATACGGCGATATTATTCATTCTAGAGAAGAACATAACGTTAAAAGGTTTTATGATCATTCAAATGTATTGTCAACGCTTTCGTTTCGGCATTTTTTTCAGCGAATGGGCCGAGAAAGAAAAAATTGGAAAATTTATTTTCAGGAGAAGAAAGAGAAGTTATGTAAAAAAAAAATAGATCAATTGATGGGTTAATTAAAGAGGAGACATCGAAGATGATGATGGAAATATTCCAAGAGATGAATATGAAGATTAAAGAGATCAAAAGTCAAAGTCTCATACTAAAGAATCTTTAAGCTTGCGCGCATATTTTAACGAAGCATTGGTATTGACAAATCAGCTCTGATGTAGCCCGCAATCCTTAGCAGTTGAAGTAGGAGATGAAATTTGTATAACCGACTTAATCCAACCAGCTATAGTATCAGCAGCTTCAGGGGAGTAAGGTTGCCTTGGGCATCGACCTTTATTACCCACATCAACATACATCTTTGACGTAATTGAAACATTTGACATCATCTAAAGGAGTTGAGGATAATGCATAAAATAATTTATGATATGCAATAATAATCATTTAAATCGTTTAATCATATTAAATAGATATAGATTTTAATCAATCAACTGAAAAGATTAGATAATTATTAATTATTAAAATGTTCAGTTAAATGTATATTCTAAAAGCCTACCTCAAGGATCAGCTACAATTGCTTCACCTAATCTCAACAATTCAAAAAAATCCGGCTGTTTATTATCTGGTAAATCTCGGAGAATGAAGATCGGAACCGTTGATAATAATGATGCTGTATTACCACACTTATAATTTATTCAACGCGAACAAGTGCCACGAACACCTCTATCTTACTGTACTATGCACATCAACGACTTGTAGAAGAATCATCAGGAGATAACATTCAATGTTATTATAATTTTTTATCAAATATGATAATCCTAGTTTATCGGACATTATCATGATGAATCTACTGATATTGATAAACTGTATGAGTGAATTTATATATCTTACTCTCTATGAAATTACTTTTAATTCAACTAGAATCATTCTCAACAAATAATACCGAGACAATTAATTTTGGATTGACGAGAAAAATCAAAGATTGTTTATATTGAGCTAAAAGTGGTATTGTACATATACTTAATAATAGATACAATATCAATAATAAATGTGGTAAATTCTGACATTACTCTATCGTGATTATTACTTACAAACATTTAGTGAATTAATTAATTTTAATCAATTGAAACAAGTCGTATTTGAATTAAATCGATTAGAAGATGTGGATTTATTCTTATAAATCTGAAGAGAGAAGAAGAGCACATAGTGAAGAGGCAATCTAGTTCATTATATAGTAATAAGAAGCACGTATATCTTTGTTTACGATTGGAAACGTATAAGGGGATGATTACAAAATGTAGTTAAATCACTACATATTTGCATATGTACATATCACATGTGATTGACTGGGTTTAACATCATGATTTCTTCTTTATTTATGGATACACAAGATTAAATTTGAAATAACATAATTACATAAGATCATGTAATCAAAGCGTGGGATTACAAATTGGCAACTCGGAACAACTTCAAAAAGTCCACAAATTATTTATTTATTTCAAATATCTGTCGATTATTTTTTTTAAAAAAATGATTGTATGTATTACAAAATTAAAAATAACATTTGTCTAGTGCAACAAGCTAATATATTTGAAGAATGTTGATCGACTAATCGACAGTACTATTATGATTTCCGCTTCTTTATCTGATGATGGTACAGATATCTGACGAAAAGTATCAGATTTTCTTGAAACATATTGAGAAAACAATACTTTGCTTACTAAATTTTCATATGATTGTTTATTTTCAATGGAATATTACCTTTTTTGCATACATTGAATGCACTTAAATTAATGCTAAGCCCAAAAACTTTAAATTTTATGGGGGTTCATCATTACATCATTACATCATTATTAAACTAAACCAACCCAACCCAAATTTAGAAAGATCCCCTTGTGAGAAATTTGTCCATTATATTTGTTTTTTCATTTAAAAAATAATGTTAATAAAGTGTATAACAGATAAGGTTAATAATTTTTTAAAAATAAGATGCATCTGGGCAATGAGGGGGAAAAAAAAATCTTATATCCAATAGAGACAATAAATAAACTTTTAGTTTTGTTTTCGCGGGATAGTTTGGTGAATTTTTTTGTTACCATTTCCACGTTTAAAAAAAAAGGAGTTCGCAATAATACATTGAAGATCTGTGATAACAACGGTACGACACTTGTAATTTGCCGTAGCGCCCTTCGTTACAATGAAAATCAGATGCACTTAAGGTAATTGGAATAACAGATAATGGATAATGTGATCATAACAAAGTTACAGGTACTATGATTGTCATTTTGATTAAAAAAAAAAGCCCGATTGGATATTTTTCTCCGAAACATGTTTACAAATTCTTTTAAACTAATAAAGGGAACGGTAAAAGTATCTGATACGAACTTTACAAACAAACAAATGCTTTAATTTAATCTTACACAAATGCATTACAAAAGGATATAAAAACGATCATTTTTCCTCCGTGAAAATGTAGATATTATTTCTCCTTTTTTTTCTCAAGAACGAAGAAATAATATCTTTCTTTTTTAAAAAAATTAAAAATTTTTTTTTTAAAAAAAATTATTTATAAAAATGTCATCACTTATCACCCCGCAAATTGATAATACTATTAAGGAGCTTGTAGAAGAGTTGGGCCATAATTCCCACTTTTGTGAAATGATTTGTGAAAAAGTCAATGAACAATATGCTACAAATTTTACTTTGAACCAAGTCCGTCAACAGTAAGTAGATCATTATTTACAATTTATTAATTAATCAATTATTTATTTGTTTTATTTGCTCACTTGTAATTTAGTTTGAAAGACGAGTTACAAGTAAAAATACCACAAAATAGAGGTGAACCCTTCACTAAGGAGATTGACAATTCTATTAAAGAATCTATGGAAAAGTTTGCTCAATCATCCAACCCATATGTGAAGGTTAGCGATAATATTAATAAACTATATGATACGAACTATACCTCAAAACAAATTCGTCAACGGTAAGAAAACTATTATTTACAATTAATTTATTATTTATTCATTTATTCATGTATTTTGATTCTATTGTAATTTAGTTGGATAAGTAAACTCAATACAGATCGTAAGTATAACTTCACATTTTCTTTTAATGTTATTCTTTTTAATTTGATTTGACGAAATTTTTTTTCAAATGAATATTCTTCTTCTCTATCTCCACTGAACATTATTTTTCTAGTTTGTCATGATTCTCTTAGTGAGGTTGAAAAATCATTTATCGTCCAATGGGTTGAAAGTAAACCACAAGGGGATACAATACCTTGGAAAGAATTAATTCCCTTGATGGAAACAAAATTCGAGAAATTGCGCTCCGAAAATATGGTAAAAAATTTCTGGAACCTACGAAAAAGAACTCAAGCAAGTACTGAATCGAAATCGGAAACCGATAACTCAAGGAAAAGAAAAAGAAGTCCTAAGTTGAAAGAGAAAAGTGAAAAACAACAAAAAAAAGTTTGTCATGAACTTACTACTTTTGAATATGAAAATGAAAAGTATATCAAATCTTCACCACCAAATGGAGATTCGAATGCAAGACCGATGGATACTTCACCCAAAAGTGAAGAGAATATCATTCATTCACCTCCTTTAAACGCAAGACAGATGGAAACTTCCTTCAAAAGTGATGAGAGGATTCATTTACCTTCTTTGAACGCAAGACCGATGGAAATTTCATTTGAAAGTAAAGAGAGAATTCATTTACCTCCCTTGAAAGCAAGACCGATGGAGATTTCTGAAGAGAACACACCTCCATCAAACAGAATGGAAATCTTATGCTGGGCTGCTGCTGAGGCGTACAAACGTGATTACCCCACTAAGTAATAATGAAATAGTTCGGCTGTGCCGATCTATTCCCTTTAAAATGTATATAATTTTAATTTACAAGTTATTATTTATTTAGGGTGTTACTATTATTTTAATTGTTATTAAAAATTTTTTCCCTTTTTGGATTGTTTTTTTCGTGCTATTAATGGTCTATAATTTTTTCACTATTATTCTATTAAATAAAAAGTAATTTTGTTTGATAAAATTTCTTTTTTTTTTACAATGTGGTATCAAATATATTGATTTGAGTTCTTCAAACAAATTATTAGGAAAGTTAATGAATTGAGACTTACTCTCAAATGAAATATCTTGAAAATCATTCAATTCAAAAGTAAACTTGATCGCATACATTCATAAACCTATTAAAAAATATTATTTAATCGTATTAAATCGGATTAAATCGTGTTAAAAAAAAAGTTTACATTAAAGATCACAGCCAGAACTCGATATAACGACTATGCGTATAACGTTAAGATTTTTACTTTATAAATTTTTAAATAGACATCATGTCGAGATCTAACTGTATGTTAAATAAAAATCAGATTTCTTACCCAATAAAAGATAAAATCTATAAAGAAAATTCACAGCATTTCATCTTTCATTTTTAGAAGATCCAAGAAAAAAGAAAAAGCATGTTTGTTAGTTGAGTTGACATACTGAAACAAAAAATTACTTTTTAAAAAAAAAATAGACCGAATATATTACCTCAAGACCATTCCAAGAAGCTTCCTGAAAAAGAGAATAGACGAAACCCCTAATGTCATTCTTAAAATACAATTTTGTGTAGATGTTGAACGAACATGCCGCAACAATCGTATATTCAAAACGAAAAACAACGTTAATGTCGTCATAAAACAAAATAAAATAAACATACCACAAACTTGTTCAAATAAACCATAGACTCGTTCTTGGAATAAAGAATAAACGAAAACATCCCATGAGTTTCCAAGGACTGGACTGAAACTGAGAAACATTCCTTTACTAGAGCTAAAAAAATGTATTCTAACCTATTTATTTTGAATAGTAGTAAGTTAATATTAAGAAAAAAATCAAAACAAAATCCTAAAGTTAAATTAACAAATATAAAGACCTTTAGATAGTTATTTGTAGTATAATAATGTTATGACAATTACATGTAAAGTTAACATTGACGTTTTACGTTATCGTATAGAAGAAATTCGAAAATTACGTTTTGATCTGCATTATGATCGTTTAAATATGTTGCGCATAGATATTCCTTTTTTTTTTTTGTTAATAGAACCTTTAAACTAACAAAAAGCTTCGGAGTAAACTTTTATGTAAGTTTATATTTATTCTTATTTATTCTTGTTATAGGAAAATTTAAAAAATTTATTAAATTTTACCATAAAGAATTATTTATTTATTTATTTATTTATTTGTCTTTATTTATTTATTTTTTGTTTTTTTTTAAAAAAAAAAAGATACGTCGAGCTGTTACGTAGTCGGCAGAGAGTTAAAATTAAGTTACATTTGTTGTAAAGACAACGTTCCCCATGTGGAATACATATAAATGAGAATTACTATACTTAGACACTACAAGATCTCAAGTCATTGGTGTTGGATTTATCAATGGGTTTAAATTCTACTTAAAAGCTTGGTCCAAATCAAATTAATTTAAGAAACCTTTGCATGTCACAATTGTCACATAATTTTCTTATCAAGGAAATGCGTTCAAAATAATTGTAGATGCGTGATCACTGAAAGGCAATAACGGGATCAATAAATTACGGTAAAATTTATATATATCTCTTTTTTTTTCTTTTTCTTCACAGAAAAGATAATAACTTATTTACAAAACACTCATAATAATGATCACTAGGTTGCACCAATGGTAATTAGCATTTATACATAAATTTTTGTGTTAATTGGTGATGGGCACGATCCCAACATTCTTACAAATATTAATACTATTGTTTTTTAAATTGTCAATATATCATATTCAGATCCAAAAGAACACCGTACCGATTGATGATGATTTATCTAAGTATTATTCGAATATTATATATATCTGATAAGAATCATCATTAATTGAATCTTTAAAGAAAAATTGAGGGCGGGTGATTAATAAAAGGTTTTCTTTAACAAAAATTAATGAAATCACCTGAAACGCTATACAATTATGGATTAGTATGAATTATCATTATTTGGAAACACGGCTTGCTGATGTAATAGAACTTGTGGGTTACAAAAGGTAATATATAAATATATGATATGATATGATGATAATTTTTTTTTATGTTTTAAAGGATATTAACCGTTTAATAATCTTTCTAGATTATAATATAGTCGAATTAGAGTATTGTACAAGAGTATTATTTAATGAAGAGAAATGGTTTAAGATAGGTAATCTATATCATTGTAATTGCTTGTTAAGGTAAAATTGAATCATCATTAATTAATTATTGAATTAATTGAGAACAAGTGATTTTAAAAAGGTTATCTTTGGTAATTATTTATCAAAAATTAGACATGAAATTACCTGAAACGCTATACAATTATTATGAATTAGTGATGAATTATCATTATTTGGTAACGCGGGTTTGCTGATGTATTAGAACCTTTGGGTTACAAAGGTAATATATAAATATGATATGATGATAATAATTTATGATTTATGTTTTTAAGGATATTAACCGTTTGATATTCTTTCTAATTTATAATATAGTTGAATTAGAGTATCGTGCCAAGAGTATTATTTAATGAAGAGAAACGGGTTTAAGGTTGGTAATCTATATCGTTGTAATTGCTTGTTTAATTGTTAAAATATAATTGATTGATTGAAATTTGTTTGTTTCAATATTTTAAAGTAGTTAAGATCGGTCTGGGCATTTATTAAAAAGAAGAATAATCACTTAAGACGAGATAAAGCTGTTGAAATCAGATCGATGATGATGAATATTGGAAGATGATGGAGATGGCGACGTAATTGATGGAATATATTCTGAAGAAAGAAGATATGAAGAGAAAGAAGGAATAAGAGGGGAAAGTAAAACATAGTAGAAAATTATTGTCAGAAAGAACAAGTAATTCGATCTATGCGCGTAATCTACAAATGATCCGGATTACATCAGTAGATGTTCACCACGTAATACCTTAAAGAAGTAAAATCAACGGCTTTTCAGAAAAAGATTCTCGTCCTAAAGATGGTTGATTTTATATTTTTAATATTTTATGGAATTTTTGGCTAATTAATAATTTTTAGATCACTTTAATATCATTAAAAAAGAAAAAACAAATTAGTTCATAGAGCACAATAGATGATCTACAAATAGTATTCACATCATAACATTAATAATACCTATAATGTTTGGAATTTTAGATCTTTATTACTTTGAATTAAAACAATTAAATCTTTTTATGAAGACATTCTTCTATGATGGGATGGATATTTATTTCTTATGAGAGAGAGTATAAATAGGAATTGATGGTGTAAACGATTAAATGAATCAACTTTCTTTATATACGAAATGTTTGATTGTTTCTTTGCGCATCCCCGGAAGTAGTTAATTAACAATTAAAATTAATAATTTGATTTGATGGATAAATGTTTAATATGTCCTTATAAAAACATTGTTTTTTTTTTTTTTGGCAAGTTTTAAAAGCGATTTCAAATAGGATAAAATGATAAGCACTTGGAAGGATAGAAGTACTTTTAGAATTACTTATAGAAGTTCAGAATGCAGATAGATTTTCTAACAATCATTTAGAAAGCTTCCAATCAAAAATTTTGTGTATCATTGACCGTATCATTTAATCTATAAAAGCAAATGAATGTAATAAATTTGTTAAATTTTTTTATTTATAATGCGAGATCATATAGTCATTCGTAAAATGAATTAAAATGAATTTTTAATAAGGAAATAATTTATCTCCGAACAAATTTTATTTATCCGTCACAAAAATCTACAAAAATCTACAGGTCTAAAAATCTCGTTTTTTTTTTTTTTTTTGCGCAGGCGCGGGAAAATATTGATCGGCAATTATTGGCTTTGTTTCTTTCAATTACATAACGAAAATGGTAAGTAACAAATAATAGAAGCAGATAAATATTGAAAAACAGATAATCATTTTAAATTGTCTCTGATGATTGCGTGGAAAAATGACGTTAATCATTCATTCTTAGATTAACGTTTATCAATACTTTCAACACCTTGTACCTTCTGTAATGATATAAAATGCCTTTCAGAAACTTCCAAGCTTTGTTTCCTCACTCTTTTTTTTTTCTTTCACCAAGAAAAACTTCAAAAGAGAATAACATTCAAAAGTTATCTTTAAAATCCTTTCATTTTTTTTTCATTGTTTTTTTACTATAATCTTTTTTCCTTCTTTTAAAAAAAATGGGTTGGTTATTGGATTCGGATGTAAGTTGTTGCTACTGTTTGCTGTTATTATTATGATTATTATCATTTTTTTTTTTAAAAAAAAAAAAATTAATAATTTTATCAGACCAAAGAAACTATTATACATTCTATGAAAGAATTGGGACACCTTAAAAATCCTTATGCTGCGATTAGTTAACCATGACCCTTTTACTGATGATGAGAGAAAGTACATTGATAATTGGGTTGCTACCAAACGAGAAGCAGGTGGTACCATAAATTGGACATCCTGTCAAAGAGACATGGAAATGTCTTTTAATAAATTACATTCCACTAATAAAATCAAAAACGCATGGAATTCTAAACATAATAAACAAAAATCAACTCAAAAGAAAGTCGTACGCAAACAAAAACAAAAACAAAAACGAAACCGAAACCGAATTGTATGTGAAAGTAATGAAATTGAAAAACTTTCTGTTCAAGTTACAACCACCTCTCATCAATTTCCTGTGAAAGATGATGTTAGTCATTTCGCTCAATCACTTTTAAATGGTATTGATAATATTGGTGTCACACCTTCACCAACCATTATTGAACCAAAATTCTTTCAACCCCACGCCCCACAATTATTACCAAATTCTTCTGAATTTGGTATCTATAATAATTATAATAATAATAGTAATAGTTTTACACACATACCCGCTATTCAACCAAAATTTCAATTTCAACCTTATCTCCCAACTATAGTGATGAAACCTATATTTTAGATGAGATTGATGATGATAAGTGTTTGAGTAACCATTTTCTATTGTATATATAAATATTTGTATTATTTTTGTTACAATTAATTAATAAAGATAAAAATGTCAATAAATTCATTGAAATATCATGACGTAAGAATGGTCTATCACAAAAAGAGTATAATTCGGAAAACAATGCATGAGAATTTTACTTAAAATGGATAGTTTCATTATGTCATAAAATTAATAATTGAAAAAGTGAAAAACAAACAAATAATTTTATTTAGAATAATTTGAATGAAAATGAAATGAAATTGATTGACATGAAAGAAAGCATTTAAAATAAAATGAAATTAAAAAGGTAATCTTACAAAGCGTAAAAAAAAAGTTAAAAATAATTTATACATATATCTACATTAAATTTTTTTTGAATTAATTTAAGGAGCATTAATTTAACCAAAAAGAGTTTAAATGCTTTATCATGTTATCATTCAAAAAATTGTATTAATAATGAGTCATCCTTGTTTTTCTAAAATAGCAAAGATGAAAAAAAGAAAAAAAAAAAAAAAAAAAAAA